CCGCAAAAAAACCGGTTAACGTGAACCGGTCTTGACCGGTTTGGACCAGTCTTTTATAGCCCCTTAAATACCCTTTAAAACGCAACCAAGAACGTACGATTTGGTAAAAAAACGAGAGAGATATGAATTAAAATGTAAATTACTTTTGGGAATAATAGATGTACCAGACTTATTTTATAGAAGCACCAATTCCTAACGGAATTTAACGTTCTTGGGCTCGTTTTGAAGCTATTAAAGATGTTAATAAATTTACCGATTCATAATTTTAAAATATTGGCCTAAAGACCGGTCATAAACCGGTTAAAACTGATGCAGACCGAAACCAGTCTATAGACCGCAAAAAACCGCAGTCTGCGGTCTTTTTGCGGTCCAGTCTGGTCTTTTGACTTCTGGGGAAAAGGCAGACCGGTTACGGTTACGGTTAACGCCCCTGGGCATCAAAAAACCGGACCGAACCGGACTTTCAAACACTAGCTTCGACAGCAGTTTGGGGATACGAGGAGACCGTTTCGGATGCAGCTTTTATGGATCTAAACACGTGTACGTGGGCTGTTCGCTGTCTGCTCGCTCACCTTTGGCTGACCCAGGGGACATGTTAGCCCTCTATTCCCAATTGTGTACGATCGAGGTAGACCTCGCATTTGAAGCCTTCTCCCAAGAATGTGAACGCTAGCACGTCAACTTGATACAAGATAGACTATGAGTTGATCATGCTGTTTGGTGGTACGGAGTTGAAGGCGTGGCTTGCGTGGAAGGAAAATGTAAGTTCCTCGTTTCACTTTCTTTCTCGGATGACGAGCTAACAACGGATTTCAAGGGTGTGGAGAGGCGAAGTGCTGCAAATTTGATTGTGTGTTCTGGTTGAATGGTTCACCTTGAAGGACAATGTACATTTAGTTTTTTTGCTAGATCTTGGTATGAATGGATGCATTTTGGTTTTTGAAAGCAGGAGGAGAGGCAAACACAACAAGAACCTTTGAAAACTAACGAAATCTACAAATTCTACACGGGCACCTGGTGTAGTTGGTTATCACGCCCGCTTAGCATGAGATGAAATATAACTGTCACCATTCTGCGGGCGGTCCCCGGTTCAATTCCAGGTGTGTCCACTATTACATTCCGTTCATCTCACCTTTTTCCTCAAAGCTCTGATCAAATTCCACAAATTTCTTTTCATAATCACATCCAGGGTATGTGAAATTGCATTTATTTTTTTATGAAACGAAAAAAGAAATACAAGAATCTCCTTGACGTCTGTTAGTCAAGGGATCCTTCACTTTGCCTTGACACCTCGCCACTCGATCTCCGCCCGAGCGCCAACGTCTCGCCTCGCGTCGTTGACACGTTGAAACAACGTTCCCGACCATGATAGAGTTGGATCTTTGTCTTTCCCGTCTTCCCTAGCGCACGAGTAACGTGACTCGCAATATAAGATTACACGCGACCAAACAACGGCCCTTGACTTCTTTCCCTCACAACTCGCCACTCCAAACTTGAAGCACGATGGTCAAACGCAACGGACGATGCTCGATATATGACGGTGTACCAACCTTACCCGATGAATGCCAACTGGGAACTTCCAAGCGACGTTATCGCCTTTGCGTTTTGGATCGCAGGGTGTATTGGCGTCGAGCCACTGTTGGGGTTACACTACAAGCCCAAGGCGAGTCGTCTGCTTTGTAGAGCGGAAGAGGGATACTGATAGGTGAATGATAGGCACGGGGGATGGTGCTACTGGAGATCGACAAAGCATACCCGGAGCACGAACGCCTTCTCGGCGAACACCGCTGGATCGAGTTCTTGAAGAACCCAAGGGCGGATGAGAAGGAGCGGATTTCGCAGATCTCTTATTGTTTGTATGATACAGGGCGAGCGGCACAGAAAGACGGTACGTCTGCTGTTGTCTTTATTTGCTACGACGAAACTTACTTACGTACGTAGGATGGAAGCGCATACACGTAGAAAGCCACTGGTTCAAAGATTGGAGCCCGAATAACGGGTACATTTCTTTCCCTTCGCTCCGTTTCTCCGCTAACATACATACACCCCAGCGTCGTCCACAAACTCTACCCAACCACACACTTGGCGCCCCGTCCCACCCGAAGACAAAACCAACAAACCCCTCTGTCGGAGAGGTGGCATTAC